CTGGTTTTCAAAAGAATATTTTAATTCAGGCTTGCGTAATTATGGATAACAAGGTTTGCTAGACTTCTTTTGTATTAGTAATGTAGTAGTGTAAATTATTATTACTACTTATTTATCTATGAATAATATCAATATACTTTAATAGAAAATGAAATCAATGTTGAGGTGGTACCCTTATTGTAAACGTGAATAGTACAAAACGCCATTGTGCTACAAAAATGTTTAGTCTCTATGGAAATAAATTTATTTCACTTGCAAAGCAATAATTCATAATATTTAAAACCGTTGTTACGGGGCACTACGTATACTAGATATTATTTTCCTCAAATGTGTATTATTTCACAAGTATAAAATTATATTAAACTTGTGAAATTCCATCTTCTCTGGGCCATGGGACGAAATGGTTCAGTTTGCATTTCACTGTTCTTTTTACCGGCGAATAGTCAGACGTCTATGCTATATTCTCAGCTCGAACGACACAATTTATTGTTTCCCAGGGATTCAAATCTAAGACACCTCGTGCTTAACTTAAGCTTTGGATGCCCAAAATAACGATTCTCTCGGACAAAGTCTAGTTACTAATATAAATAATAGGGTTATTAGTATAAATGTCATCAAATGTAGTTGTCCTATTACTAGGTATTAATAAAGGCTACAAACTATCGTGTATTGGTTAAAACGCCTAAAATTACCGAATACGTAGAGCAAGAGATAATTCACTTCCGTTTATGCCTACGAGTGGACCTCAGTCCTTTTGGAAAATGGACTGAACAATAGACAAGAATTTCAAATATAAAAGAGAAGGTTAATTGTCCATGTCTATAGGCCGTAGTTTGATTTATCTTTGCTTGAAAATGATTTTAACAGTAGCAATTGTTTTTGAGACTAACGGATTTCATCTTATAAGTTGTTTAAATTGCAATTATTTTTTGTTTTGCTTAAGCATTCCATTTCTTATGACAGAGAAAGACATACCGGCACGAGGTTTACTTGAGAGAATTTGGAATACCTCAGTTATTTAAATAAAATATATATGTATATAATAAAATATATTGTATAATTTTATTTTTCATGTTGACATTTAATTGTTTACTAAAATTATCTTTTTATTTTTTTATTTCTACATGCAAAGGTTGCCTGAAAGAAATCGCCATAAGCGATAAGGCCACCTTTGCACAAACATGTTTTATTTAGTATATATAATTCTAAGTATCTATGTTCTTATGTTTGTGCAATAAAGAATTTTAATTATAATTATTAAAATACAAGTACCTCAGTCACATTGGACGTTGAATCCGTAATTTATTATTATTACGGGCCTTTCTCTAACCGCGAACGTTTCCGGGTTTGAATTCCGGCAAACACAAAAGTCTTATCGGTAACTGGCCACTAGATAAAAATAGATATTGACTTGTGTTTGTTTCATTCCCTGGATAGAAGAGATGGAATTTCATACTTATTTTTAATCGATTGCAAAATAGAAGCTTCTTATTTAGATCCGTATACATGCTTGTTCTTAGGTTATAGGACATATGCATGCAATAAATAAGAGATATTGTACACAGATACAGAATATATGAATGGGTTTTGGAAAACAGGAGTTAATTGGGGGATTCATGAATGTGATAATAACCATTATCATTAAATTAATTGCTCTATTATTGGCAATTAAGCTTACTTAAGTACTCTGCATCTTGATGATTAATTAATAGATAATCAAGATTAGTAATTCGAGAATTTGATTAAATTTTGAATATCAAATACTGTCTGTACGTAGTTTACGTAAATAATACACATTCAAATAAAACACTTTAACGGTTTGAAACGCAATTAAAGTAATTTTGAAATAAGTTTAACTAATATATATCGCGTTTTAAAACGTTAAAGTTTTTTTATATATCAGTTTATATTTTAAGACTAAACGATTTTATTCTTGAATTTCTTAGGTATTCATACTTCTCAAAATGGCGGCCTTATAAAATAAGAAAGCCTTTCTCTCAATATATAACAAGTAAATTTTTGGTCAAAAAGGGGATTAGTATCACTTTTTACGATACTTGTATGTATCTAATTTATTTTTCTAAGGTAAAATTTAAAAAACTATAATTATTATATTAATATTCTATACTTTTTCTTACTCTTAGGATTACAAGAATCAAGAGCAACCAAAAAAAAACCTATAAAAGATCAGTTTGACTTCCATCAGGTCTAACACGTTTCTAAAATTTTTTTTTTTAATTTAAAAACTACCAAAAAATTAATATTAAATGGGTGGTATGATATGGAAATTTCGTCACGAACTACCGTCGACTGTTAGAGAATTCTTGAATTGCATTTCGGTTCTTTGAATTTCATCATTGACAGCGCATCCAATCTCCACGTTTGACTGTTCTCTATCATAGAAAAGCTGAAGGGTAGTTCGTTAGACTTTACTCCTTCAAGAATACAAGTATCTCTGTAGTTCACCGGTGTTGAATGGCATACGCTAATAATATTATCGTGCACAAGTGACAATAACAGTGTCGTCAGTAAATCGGAGATATCCTGCCTCCAATTGAGTGATTGGCCTGGGGCCACGACTCAGATATTTGTCGAGCACCGTGCAGGGACGAGTGGTGAGTTTTCCTCAATAATACTTATTATATTACGAATTTTCTATGGGTTTCAACTTTTCGATACATTGCGTAACAGCCAAATAAGCAAAAATGCTGTGAAAACCTCCGATAATTATATGTTTTATTTAAGGCTGCTAATTGGTTAGATTAAAGGTTTTCATTAGCCCTCACTGTCTTATATTGTTGTTCCAAAAAGTAGCGACGATCCAACCCACATTTCTAGGTTTAAAAAAGTCATCTGTGAGTATGATATATCTATGCGAAAACCTGTGACAATATTTACCTATACAAAGTTCCTAACTCATAGTGTAGTTGTATTGTATTCAAGGGCTTACTGACCAAACATGTATGCATACTTGCATATCACTCTACTACAATCCCTTAACATCAAAGGAAACACCACTGAAAATGTCGGCGAGTGTTTCAGTCAAAGGATTAATGAAAATCCGGGCTATGATAGTGTTTTATAATAGCAATGCTTTTAAACAAGTAATTAAAATGTATAGTGAAACATTTCCATTAAATTCCCTCTGTGCAACTCCGACAATGCTTCAAGTGGGAGGTTTTGTTTAAAATATTTCACAGAGAATTATCTAGTCCGCGCTGAAACGGTTCTCAAAGTTTAAGACGGAACTGGTATTATACATCAAAATTTTAAGGATTTTAGTAGTTTCCTCAGATGAAATCTTACTTAATTAGGAAAAGTAAATATATTATATTGAAAAATAACATTTTAACGGTTAAAAACACGATATATATTAGTTAAACTTTTTGGACATTATTTTAACTACATCCCGACGTTTCGAATGATTTGCAGCACCCGTGGTCCCTTTGTAACTAATATACATCGCGTTTTAAGCCGTTAAAGTGTTTTACTTAAATGAAACTACTCGCGTAAACTACAGACAGTATTTTTTTTATAAGTGTATATGTCCATGAACAATCACCCAAATAGTGTACTATAAGGCAGAAAAGAGGCCAGCGAGAGGTTCACTTCATAAAAGGTGGAATACAACAAATCTAATCAATATGTCGATATATTTTGACCTTTGGATTTCAGAAATCGAAACGCGATTAACTTAACGATTTGTCCACCTGTGGTCTCTAAATGTGTCATCTATAATTCATTTAGAAATATATTGGAGGCGGTGAGAATCGAACCCAAACCCCGTTACTACCATTATCCATATGTTGCTACCATTGGACTACTTAACCCGTCATAGTTCTTTAACTGAAACGATTCATGAATAATACAAAAAATAAAGAATTCAAGATATAATATATATTAGCGTATCAGTGTCGAACCCGATAGTCGTAACTATGTTTGCAGGAAGTTATTATCTGCATCGTGTTTTTGAAATTCCAAAAGTACCTAATAAACTTAAGACGTCTTTGTTTCCATAGATAAGATTATAGGTATTACCTCAATTATATTTTTAACTAGGTGTGTCAGTGACTTCATCCGCGTAGAATAGTTAATATGAGAATCAAAATTGACCACAACACATGAGGTCGGTCGCATCCCACCGTTGTTGCAAGTTATCGTTAAAAGAGTGACATTTAGAATAATTCCTTCATATTTATTTTTTGGATTACTTGAACCGTTTTCGCAGCGTACGCAACAGTGAACGCACAAATGTGAATAATTTTCCCCATGTTCTCCTCATTTCCAACTTTTTTTCGCTCTTATTACTCTAATCGCGATGTTTTATAACCTATAGACCTCCTCGATGGTCTCTAACCAACATAAAAAGAGTTTTTCAAGTTCGACCTGAGACCGTTCCTGAGATTAGCGAGTTTGTTTGAAATAAACTCTTCAGCTTTATATATTAGTATAGATATGACCGCAACTGTTTTTGAGAGTTTTTTTATTGAAATAAATGAACGTAAGCTCTCTTCGTCAAAATATAATGATTTAATTAAGAAGTTTGAGTAACGCTGACTTGCCGTAAATGAGATAAACCCTGGCATTTTATTAATCCATGGCCAAGACGATAATTACAAGGCGATAACGAACTTTCCGAAGGTGTTTGTTCGACGTTCCTTTCGATTTTCTTTATCCGTTTGAAATTAGATCCATCCCATATTACAATTTAAATAAAGTTAAGAAGAAATTGTATAAGGCTTTCACGGCCACCGATCAGCATATCATTGTTTTTCGGGCTGCTCGGTCGACGTAAGCGAGAAGAATATCGATCAATCGAGGAGCTAAAGTCTCCCGATGATGCCGAACAGCCCGAAAAACAACGATATAAAGTTTAATAGGTTTTTCAATTTTAATTTCAATTCAGCCACAGAGTTAGCCCTCAGCAATGTTTAGTACTCCTAAATTTTTCCATTAAACCCAAAAAAATTTTCTTTGTCTTCAGTTACAACGTGACTACAATGAAGTTAATAGTTGTCGCCGCCTGTCTGTGTATATGTTACGCCCACAGTCTACCACCGGATAAGGTAATAATATGATGTCATTTGCATATTACATAAGCATATACAGCATGTTTCTAAAATAGCAATATATGACCAAAGAAGATATAAAGATATAGATATAGAAGAATATAAACAAAAAGCCATAAAGCTGTGTTTCACCGATCGATTGACAGGCTAAAATTTGTGTGTGTTTTATGTGCCCTGCCCGACCGAAACTATTGATCGTGTCGGGATTCGAACCTGTGTTTGACGCAATGCTAGGCAACGCGTAATCAAAGCTACGATAGCGATTAAAACAAAAAAAACAGATTTAAAGTTGCGTCTATATGTATGTACGAGTAAGTATAATTCGCGTTTAATTGAGTATTTATTTAGATAAACTGAGTTAAACCTTGTAAGTCTCGAGTTAACACAACTTTGTATGCAGAAGAATTAATGTAATGAAATTATTATACATGGTGTCCCTCAGATGTGCTATGCAGTTATAAAAAAAAATCTTTGAAAACTTTAATATTTTTCGCACATGATAGCACTAATTAAAATCGATTATAAATATATCACTTGGTTAGAGCAACAGCACGGAACGCTGTGAATGCCGGTTGAAGTACTGCCCGAGTCGTAATTTTTTCAATTTATAATCGTTTTTTAACTATTATTCCGTTAATTGCCAAATACAAATATTTTACTTTGAATACTTTCTGTTCTAAAATACAGTAACATATGTAGTAATTACTAAGACTTCATTAATCCGATATTATACAGACGGGTAGCTAAATGTAAAATATAATATGATAACAAAGACCTTTTGAAAGTTTACTTTTCTTTCGATAGATGGGGTTACCTTGCTGTCAAGAGATTACTAAAATACAGAAAATAAAGTTTTCTAATGTTAGTATTAAAATGTTTTTTGACAAGGTTAACATTAAACATTCTGAAAACTTATTCACGTGTTGCACCACAATGCATTGTATAAATTAAAAATGTCTATAAAAAAGTCGATGAAAGGTAATATATAAAAGATACGATGGATCGAGTCTCGCCCATGTCGTCAAAACTTTCCAAATCAAATCAAAACATTAATCTACATACAAGTAAATAAAAAAGTAACACAAAAATACAATTACCTATTAAAAATTAAATTTAAAAAAAAAATAAACTAATTGGTAAATAAGATGAATGTGGAAAGACACCACTTACATTTGGTTGCATCTGGAAATACTATATTTTAGTAAACCTTCTTCTTCTCATACAGAATACACAGGGCCTACACATTATCAAGACCCGAAGTATAGACCTCAACAACGCTCATGCTTTAACTCTTGAGACGCGGCTGGGCAAAGCTGTGGAGCCCACTGCTTACAACATAGCTCTGGAACCATACCTCGATGATGCATTATTCAACGGCAGAGTTAGTATTAACATCACCTGGCTAGAAGAAGCTGACGAGATAAGCCTACACTGCGCCCATGACTTGGAGATCACTAGTAACGAAGTCTATCTTCAGAAGGGGTAAGCAATAAAAAACAGTTGGGTAAGTAAAATCCCGTTTCCCCTCGGACTTCATCGGTTTTATTTAGACAATTAGTTGATCACAGTTTTGTGCCCTACCCGATCGAACGAAGACCTCTCGGGCTTAATGCAGTGCTAGGCAACACGTTTAGCCATTTAGCTACGGTGACGCTTTGGAATTACTATGTATATTAAGAATGTGGCATGGCACACATATTTCTGTATCCGGCACAGATTATTACAAGGACACAATTATTATTTTCCCAGGATTCGAATCCAAGAAATTTCCTTCTCAATGTTTTGCGACAACAATTATTGAGACACGGAGGAAGTCAGAAAATGAGGCAACCGAACTTGTTTGCGCTTTTTTATATACTATGAGTAAATCACTTTAACGATTTAAAACGCGATATGTATTACTTAAACTAATTTGAAAATTATTTTAACTGCGTTCGTCAGTTTGTCTATTCTAAAGAATATTTAAACAACTAATAGACTAATCACTTGTACAGTAGAAATATCATACACAAATTCACTACACAAACATAAGCCTAATTAAATAATCTTATATAAAGCTTTTCCACATAATTAAATAAAACACTTTATCGGTTAAAACCCGATATATATGAGTTATACTTTTTTACAAATTACTTTAATTATGGCCCGACAATTGAAACCATTCGATGTATGATAATATCGAATGTAGTATTATAAGTAGACCTGACTGTAGTTGGTATTTTTTTCAGGGATCAAATGGAAGAAATACGAGTGAACGAGATAAACATGGACATGAAGAAGCCAATTTTGACGATGCGCTTAGAGAGAGTCGTGCCCAAGGCATCAGTCGGCTATCTCGCCTTCACCTTCAAAGGGAAACTGCAAACTATTTCTATGGACGGATTTTTCACATCCACGTACAAAACTGACCAGGACGAAGAACGGTTAGATTTTAAGCAATTTAGTATTTAGATTGTGTAGCTAGGTGACTTTTTATGTATTCCGAAACTCTGTGGATGCCGTTCACATCCCGCCCGTGACGGATTTTTTTTCAATATATTTTATGCGTCAATAAATAATAGAAACGAAAGCACGGCATTGATTAATCAATTTCCTCCTATATTATATAATGTAATTTTAAAGTGAAATCTGTGTGGGGCTTGGGGCGGACACATTTCTGTGTTTTCACTTATCGTTTTTATTTACTGGCAAGAAGTTGATCTGAATTCTGGGCCCTGCCCGATTGGAACAATTAATTGTTTCCCCCTGGAATCAAACCAGCATCTGTCACACTTAGCACTATGCTATTTTTAGGTTAGCCATTTAGATACGGGTGTAGTTAGTCAGACATTACTATGTTAGTAGAGTAGGAACATATAGTATATGTAATATTTATATGCTAAGACAGTTTCGATAATTCTTTTTGTTCTTATACTATCATTTTTTATTGTCTGTAGAATAGTAGCCGGGACACAATTTCGACCGAATAACGCAAGACGTGTGTTTCCATGTTTCGACGAGCCTGGTTACAAAACTCCGTTTGAGCTGAGCATTGTTCGTCCAAAGGATATGCTGGCTATCAGCAATATGCCCGTAGCGAGGACTGAAAACATGTGTGTATACATTAATTGTATAGTTATACTTATATAAAACTTAAAACGTATAAAACGTTAAGCACTTTAACTTAGTTAGAGGAAATTAATGAAAAATAGTGCGCCGTTTTAAAAGACACAAATTTTTTTATCGCTTTTTATGAAACTTTTTTGTGCGCGAGTGCCTTCATGTAACCAAGTTACTCATTTACTTAGTTATAAGATGTATAAAACAGTAATAAAAACAGTTTATTCTCTACTAGTACTGATGAGCCCGGTGCTGTCAGGGACTTCTTTGAAAAGACACCTCCAATGTCCACTTTTGCCTTGGGTGTCGTGATCGCACACTTGACCCAACTTGGAAATACTACGCATTATAGAGACGACAATGGAAATAATATAGGTAAGAACGCAAAAGTAAAGGTAGGTAGGTTGACATTTAGACACATTTGAGACTTCTAATAGCTTCCTAACTAATAGAACCTAGATAACGTTCGTTACACTTTTGAAACTTGATTAAAGTAAATATATTTTTAGGTTATTAAAATATTTTAGTACTCCTTTCTTTCGTCAAACGATAAATACCGTTAACTTATGGTGTGCTGTGTTATTAAACGTTTCTGTAAGAACGAAATCACGACTGCGTTCGAGTCCTGGGGAAACAATGAATTGTTTTGGCCGACCAGGGCACACAAGTCAACTAGTTGCCTGTAAATAATATAGATCAGTGAAACGGACACAGAAATATGTTCGCCCTCGAATTTTAAGGTATTATTTAGATCATGCAGAGCACAGAAGTCATCTTCTCGTCTTTAAATAAAATCGTTTATTGAAAGAAGAAAGAATTTCACTTTTTTGTTAGAATACTTTTTTTATTATAATATATGTTTTACGAATTTCCTACTATTTGTTACCATTCGTTCTTTTTAATTATCATCCAATAAACTTTTTCTAGCCAGCCAGTTCAAAATTGTGGAGCTCTATTAAAAACGTTTGTTTACTGAGGTGTTTATCTGTCAAATTAATACTTAGTGGTATAGGCATAATATTTAACTAATGATCCAAGCCGTCATTAATGCCATCCCATTTCATTAATGCGTTATATATCTCTGCGAGAACATTTTATTTCCCCTGCCTTATACCGCCTAGCAGCGAATTCAATAAAAGCGCGTAATGGATTAAGGAACAGCTCAAATCTCGGGGTTACAAATATACTGCCGATCGTAAACGACCGAGTACTTAGGTGCAATCATTAAGTTCGACCATTAAACATGAGCCGTAGCCGAAAGGTGTCGCGAACAAAAAGTTATGGGTCGATTTTATGAGATCCAAGGAAAGTACTTATAAACCCCGACACATAAAACTGACGGAATTAATCTTGTGTTTTATTGGCCGTTACCTCGGATTTTGTATGCATGGGATTCATATTATTGCCTTTTCATATTCTATTTTGTGGCGTCTGGCTTAGATTGCGCGTCAAATAAAGCCAACATAGCACTGGTTTTGCAGAGTATGTTAAAACGGTAATAGTACCAAGTGCTAAAGAAAACACAAAATAAAAAAAAAATGTAATGGATCTTTTTTCTTTATGACAGAGGAGACAAGACAAGACCCCAGCTTTTAATACTAAAACAAATAAAAAATGTGCTGTCGACTTATTTTTGCTTTGGTTATTCGAAAATCCACTAACTATAACCGAAACGCGATTAAGCTTCACGGCTTTTTCATCTGTGGCAATATCTCATTTAATAGCCAGATTTCCAGATCTTGTCACTTTTTAAATAAAACACTAACTGCTTAAAACGAGATATATATTAGTTTCATTTATTTAAAAATTAATTTAACTACGACCCGAGATTTCGGATGTTTTGCAGCAGCCGTGGCTACGGGGTGAATTCGAATAAATTTAACTAATATATATCGTATTTTAAACCGCTTAAGTGCAATATTTACTACTCGCGTAAACTACAGACAGCGTTTAAGAACTTGTTACTTCTTATGTTTAGTTTAATATAATGATAAATTCAGAATATGCAAACCCATAATAGGTCATGAGAGCATCTTGTTTAAATGTTGTATGCTTAAAGGTAGGTAAGCCTTGTAAAAATAAATAAGTTAATAAATGTATTTTACATATCATCAAGTAACCTTGCTTAAATACTGTCTATAGTTTACGCGAGTAGTACACATTTAAATAAAACACTTTAACGGTTTAAAACGCGATATATTAGCTAAACCGGTCTGGATCGCAATAAACAGCATAACGGCAAACGCGAAGACACCGTTAGTCAATTCTGTGAGGACCCGGTCAGTTCCGCCAAATACCAACTTCGACGGAACAGATGGCGCTAGCGTAGCAATTTTTTTACTTTGACGTCAGAGACATCCTCCATCTTTAGTCTCCCCGTGACCACGACTGCTGCAAAGCATCCGAAACGTCAGGCCGAGGTTAAAAATCATTTTCAAATAAGTTTAACTAATATATCGCGTTTTAAACCGTTAAAGTCTTTTATTTAAGCCCTTGTGCTTGTCTATCGTCCTCTATCATAAAACAATAGTAATTATTTCGGTATGTTAGGGTAAGAGATTAAAAAAAATATATTTTTACAGAATTGCGTGTTTGGGGACGACCTGAATATTTAACGGCCCTGGAAGGAATGAACGAGAAACTGAGTCGTGTTTTCAGCGAGGTGGCCAATTTTTGGCAAGCCCCTTTACCTTTGAAGAAGTTGGACGTTGTCGCGTTACCGAATTACCAAGGATTCAAACCTGTGGACAATTGGGGTCTTATTGTGTTTAAGTACGTATAATAATAGTCTTTTGACAAAGGTTAAAAACGGAAATAAGTACTGGTACCTAAATGCTTTAGGTTTTCGAACTGTATATATAAGTGAAAATTTATTAACATTTATTTGTTTACTACATAAAAATAAGCAAAAGTCTAATTTATACTTTAAAGTTAATAATTAATTACTCTCTTCGAAATTTATATCATACAAGTTGAATGCATTTAAATTAAGTTAAGTCCTAATTAAAATTTAAAATAACCTACCTGTAGGACACGGTAGTTCAATTGGTTAGAGAAACAGCACGACACGCTGTGGATGATTACAAGTTGAAAATGTTTACGACTAGTGCCGGTTCAAGTCCTGCACTAGTCGTAAACATTTTCAACTTGTAATCGGTTTTTAATTTATATAGTGCCATCACGTGCAAAATACCATGTGAAAAATATTGAAGTTTTCAAGTCATAATTTCTAAACAGGCTGATCTACCCGTATTAAAAGAGTTTGCTAAGTTATACCTTAAAGTTAAGTACCATTTATGTTCATGTTTTTAAATTAGAGAGAGCGACCTTACAAATAGAAGAACGTTCCTGTTGGAGCAAGAGATCACTTACCTCTGGCTGGGTGGACTAACCAGCCCAGCTTGGTGGAGTGATGCGTACGTCAACAAGGGTCTCGTTGGTTACATTGCAGCTGAAATGGCTATTAAGGCAAGATTAAATAACAACATTTTTGTAGAGGGACTATTTCAATATTCATGGTTAACGTTGGGAATAAGAAAAAATATCTTTTACAAGGGATATTCGTCTTTGGTCCTCGTTAATCGTCATTTGTTTTATTTTTTTATTTCATTTATTGTCCTTACACTTAAACTGCTTGGCCGATCTAAATTATTTTTTTAAGTAAGCTATTCTATTAAATTGATATTATTGTGATAAGTCTAATCTAGGCACCTGTATTTTTTCATTAAAAATTTTATTGTTACCGATGCAGCGAAGGGGGAGTTTTAATATTTTATCATTAATTATATTACATAGTAACTTTCTTGTATCACATAAGTACTACAGTATTACATATTTTACTACTACTTGACTAATTTTAACAATCCCTTATCTCAGATCAACGACAAAGATATAGCGAGACAATGGCCGATCACAGTCCTCTACTCGATTTACTACGAGTTCAGCAAGAGGTATCCTCACTCCAGGATCACGGGTCTGAAACAAGAGACGGCGTCCACCAAGATAGAGCTGCTCTTCCGTGTCTTCAACTACACTCTTGGCTCAGATACCTTCAGGAAGGGAATGAGGATGTTTATAAGGGAAAAGTAAGTGGTTTGCCTTATTACAGACGTCATCATAGATGGCTTTGTTGATGATAGCTGGTACCTGGGGTAACGTTAACTGAAGTAATAGCGATAAAGAGTGTGTTGGACTCGCACATGGATGATTCTGTACAAAGCATTGGTTACTAAATTTATATTGCAACCTACGTGTAGTTATTGAAAGTATAAGCTGATACGCTTTATGTATCCGTGACCTGAGACAGCAAAGTCTTAGTTATATGTATAATGAAACCCTACCTAAGCATAAGATACCGAAAAGATATGTGTAATCAAATTATTGTTTATTGAATTATTCTTCTCTAAATAGTCTAAAAAAATATCAGCGCCGGTTTATATTTATCTTTTAAGATAAGCTAACAAGAATAATTTTTATGATATTCGAATTTGATGGACTTCATGTAGCAAGTCAGCTAGTTAATAACTTAAACTACATATTCGGTCTGTGTTAGCTCCAAGATCCTAACAAGATCTTACTGGTAGAATAAATAGGCTCTTTATAGTAAACAATCGTATAGGACAATTCAAATAGATGACGTCACAGATTTAATACTGACCGATTACAATGCAACTGTAAATCAATGTTAATATCCTCATTAATGAAAATGACTGGGCTCCATTTACTATGATGTAATGACAGAGGAAAATAAATTTAACGCGTCATGAATGAAATAGCGTAATTTTTATTTAAATCTTTTAGAAGAGTTGCATCCACTTCTAGTAATTATTTTTATCTAAGTGAGAAATATATAAAGTTAAAATAAAACATATTTTATCCGACGACCCGACGTTTTGCTTGCTTTGCTGCAGCCGTGGTCATGGGGGGGACTGAAGATGAAGGTGTAAATGTCAAAGTCAAATCTGCTACGCTACTTCCCTCTGTTTATTTTTAATTGGTATTCGTAGACTAAAATATCGCAACGTCGGGTCGTTGTTACAATCAATTAAATACTAATGTATTGTGCGTCCTAATCCGTTAGAGTTTTATAAAATGTGTTTCACTCGAGGGAGCTACAGACAATACTTATGCTAATAATAATTCAACACCTATTAACATACTGTCTGCTAAACTGAAAGCAAAACAAAATCCCTCCTGCCATTTGCGCGTAAAAGATTACAACTTTACACACAAATCGCATTTTTTAAAGGCTTGACTATTTCAATATCATGTGGTTTATTAATTTTAAATGTTCTTTCGTAATCGTTACTTAATTCAGAATCTTCAAAACCTTCACGGGTGATGACATATGGAATGCACTGAACAAGGCCGCCCATGATGACGAGAAGATACCAAAAGGCGTGGACATCAAGACCATTGCAATGAGCTGGATAGAACAAGACAGATTACCTCTCGTCACGGTTAATAGGAACTATGAGAAGAACACAGCTGTGGTTACACAGGTAGCTATTTCTGTTCTCTTCTATTCTTCTTATAACTAATGGTGTGTATTGATTTAGAATAATACAGTTAATGTTTACTACAGGAAGTCTAGATAAAAAAAAATAGTTAGGTTTTTTGAGGTTAAATAAAACACTTTAACAGTTTAAAACACGATTTATATTAGTTAAACTTTTTGTGAAAATTATTTTAACTATGGCGCGACGTTTCGGATCCTTTGCAGCAGCCGTGGTCACGGGAAGGCCGTTAAACCGTTAAAGTGTTTTATTTAAATGTGTACTACTTTGAAATTTAAAATAACTGTAATTGACTAGTCAGTATTGAGAATACTGACTGTAGCAGGTTCTAAATCCGCCCTCTTTATAAGGAATAATAACACAGAATTTCACCAGAAGAAAGTACAATGAATCCGTGTTTTCAAATGTTTTGAAAGACTTATAGAATTTAAATAAAACACTTTAACGGTTTAAAACGCGATATATTAGTTAAACTTATTTGAAAATGATTTTTAACTTCGGCCCGACGTCTCCCCGTGACCAAGGTTGCTGCAAAGCATTCGAAACGACGGGCCGAAGTTAAAAATCATTTTCAAATAAGTTAAACTAATATATCGCGTTTTAAACCATTAACGTGTTTTATTTAAATGTGTACTACTCGCGTAAACTATAGACAGACTTATAGAAGACTAGCCTCTGTCAGCTAAACGTGTAGCCTTTTATTGCGATCAGCAAGAGAGGTCCTGAATTCAAATATGGAAAATAATACGTTTTTTCGATTGAGCAGGGCATAGAAGTCTGATTAACTACTTGTCTATTAAATGAGAAAAACGGGCACAAATAAGTTCGTCCAATGCTCCACTGGCACACGGGCTTTGAACACCTAAACTACCAAACATACTTTACTACCCCCGTGTTTTCTTCGCTTCTCTAATACCGCTTTCTAAAAATAGATTCAGTTGTATTGATTACCACATATTTCATTTTTACAGTATTTATAAGATTGATTAAACTATGTAATCATCAGAAAGTGTTCCTCCGTGAACGCCCTCACGACGTCCCCAATGCAGATAAGATGACATGGTGGCTTCCCATTGTGTTGATACGGGAAGACAATTTGGACTTTTCCAAGACGACTCCAGTCATGTGGATGAAAGATAAGGAAGCCCAAATCACTAACACTCCAAGCAAAGACCACTTCATCATTGTTAATCCTGAAGAAATTGGTACGTCATTTTTAAAAGGAGGAAAATTTATTAATTACAATACAAACTAATATTAACTCACACGTGTCTGTATGGGGGTTAAAACAAGTAATAGGACACCATTGGTGTAATGGTAGCAATGAGTGGCTAATAATCAACAGGTCGTAGGTTCAAACCCCCCCCCCCCACGGGGGCCAGTATTTTTTTAAATCAATATATATATAAATATTAAATGGGTGGTAGGAATATTGATATTCCTTCAGGGTCACGAACATCCACGGGTGAAAAATCCGTCAAGCTTAATAGCGTTTCGTTGGCAGTTGATTAGACGTCATATAACTGGGGTATATCATTTACCATAAACCCCATGGTTGCCTGTCCTCCTATATTAAAAAAAATGTTTACATACAGTTTCTTTGGGAAAGTCTAAATACTATTACATATTTACGAGTACAAAAGTCAAGACACTCCTTTTATTTAGAATACTTCGATAACATTCCAGATGTTTATACATTTTATATAGATCACTTTTAGATTAACTAGATCAGTTTTAGTTTTTTGCATACAATTTCTACTTTATAATAATCAATACAAAATTATCTCAGCTCCGTTCCCCGTGAACTATGAAAAGGACAACTGGAATCTACTCCTTCAGTATCTACGGAGTGACAAAAGAACCAACATACCGGCTCTTACCAGAGCCAAGTTACTCCATGACGCCTGGAACTTAGCGTATGCTGGCGATCTTTCATTCGCCACTGCACTTAACATGACTTTATTCCTGAAAAATGAAAAGGACCATTTAGTTTGGGAGCCAGTTTTTACCATGATCGATCATATTGGCAGACATATTTGTTCCTGTATTAAGGATAAGTTTAGGGTAAGTGGAACTGACACCTTAGGTATATAAGCGTATTGCCAAGCATTGTGTTAAGCACGAGGGGTCAATGGTTTGAATCCTGAACAAATAAATACCTTTAGTCAGTAGGTACGGAAGTCTGATTTACTGTCTGACTACTACTTGTAAAGTAATCGGAAATTTCAACGATAAAAAAGCTTAATGCAATAAACATTTTATTTTAGTAAAATTTAAATAATTCAAAAATGTTTTAAAAAGGCCAAAAAATATATTAGTTAAACTTATTTTTGATTTGCTGGTTGTAGTCACGTGAATAAAAATAGAAAAAGATAAGTTACAAAGTATATCATTGATAATCACTAAAATGAAGCATTGTCATCACTTTTAACTGTTTAAAACACGAAATGTTACTGAACTTATCTGTAACTATTAAAATTTCAAATATTAAAGCGTGAAAAGTGTTTTGTTAATGCGCCATTGTTTATCCTATCGTGTAGGGAAAACCTCGCTTAGCCAAAACTTTTGTTTATCCTAACTAAATACTTTATATATATTTGTTAAATATTATACTATATACACGCCATAGTAATCATTAATGCATCATCACGTTCCAATAGCACGCTGCAAGATATCCGAGCCAACTTTGAAAACAATATCTATTCGAAATAGCAAAGATTGACTTAGTATTCTCGTAAGATCGATATCTGTTTGGTTTCCCGATTGTGGTGAGACAGTGGAATAAGTAACTAAAGGCTTGTACGTTTAGCATGTGTTTCTTAAATTTGAAAAGGTCTTTGTTATATCATTTGATTTTTTTATGGCTTTAAGACGGCGGTGTGCTTGCTTTTTACGTGATTTTATCGATCTAGTGTTTTATATTATACTAGCTGTTTAAGCGACTTCACCCGCTAAGCATATTTATTTTGGGCATCCAAAATTCGTTCCTCAAACCCTTTTACTTTATAAACCTGTTACCCACGCCGTCGCGTCCCTTCCTGTCGTTTTTGCAAGTAAAATATAAACAAAAGCCGCTTTTTTAGATCATTTAAAGACATCATCATAATACATATTTTTGGGGTATCTTGAGCCGTTATTGCAGCGTACTTCCTACCTACCTCGGAAACCCATAATAATGAGTAATTCTTCCTTTCTCAATAAATGCTCTAACAAACACAAAAACAATTTTTCAATTCGAATCAGTAGTTCGTGAGATTAGCGCGTTTAAAAAAACAAACAAACAAATTCTTTAGCTTTATATATATAAAACTGAAGAATTTGTTTGTTTATTTACTGATATCAGTATAGAATTATTGGACAGGGAAATTTCAACAAGCAAATTTAACTGTCATTTAAGTTAGCAAAAGCTTACTAACTTTTTACTTTGAGCCCAGGCGGCAAATCGCCATTATGTGGCACTATATAAACATGTGCAATAACATGTAAAATCTATTTTCAAAATTCATCATATTTTTATTCTTCCACTTAATTTCAGATCTACGTCCGCACCTTCCTCAGTCCCTTATACGAAGAGCTGAAAGGAGAGACAGAGGTGGAAAACACAGGAGGAAAGAATCTTCAGTCCCACATGAAATACTTCCTCTGTCATGCTGGATACAAACCGTGTATTGAGGAAGCGAGAGACGCGTATCATGTTTGGATGGAGCAACCCAACCCCGACGAAGGAAATCCGTAAGTCTTAAATACTTTTCGCCGCTCAGAGAAGTAAGACGAATTTTTAGATACTACAATTTGACACAAGGGGTCGCTTGTTGCTGTAGCTGTTTCTCTATGAAAGTAAGATTACGAAAGTTTATTTATTAAATAAGGATTTTTCTCCAAAAACTAGAATGTAGTTAATCTTTATGGACGCGGAGGATAGGCAAACTTTGTTAACTGGATGAACTAATTTTTCAAATTAGATTAGTAGTTTTCAACTTTATAATATTATTATAGATACACAAACAATACTCTGACCCATTTATAATGGCGAGTGAACTTTACAGAAATGGAATTCCATCCCGCATCAGAATACGAAGCTAGGGTCCAAATGAAAGTTTGATTTGTGCCATTATAAGTTGGTATCCGTCAAACCCTACTTGGAAAACATTCTTTGTTGGATAAATAAAGTTTCACTTCATTGCGAAAGAGCTTATAGGATTTTGAGTTATTATTTACGACCGGTTAGCTCTTTTGATACGTGCTGAAAAGTTGTTAAGTAATAAAAAATGGATGTCTAGCTTCTGCCTGTTGGTCGTGGGGCAAACATACTTTTATATCCATATTAAAGATTTAATTTAAAAGCAAATAATAATAAAAAAATAAACGTCTATAGCTTAACAGCTCAGTTTAAAAACATGAATGAAAATGTTCTTTGTTTTTCGTATGGGTACATGCAGCAAAAATTTAGTACCTAGTAGTCCTAAATTCGATTTCCGGAATTAATCGTTTTGGTTAGGCCAGGCTAGGTAAGTCTGTATACCTATGCCTTTGTGAATAAAGTAGATCAGTGAAATGAAGAAATGTGTACATAGTCCTGGATTCGATTTCCGGTGAATGAATTACTTTGGTCAGGCAGAGCATAGAAGTTTCTACAACTGTTCCTTTGTAGATGAAGTAGATCCGTGAAGCGAAAAAACGTATTCCCTCCGTGCCCCACAGGGAGAAATAGGGTAATTAGAAGAAGCTATTGACCATAATGATTTATAAGCTTTATTTTTTTAGATTGGGTTTTAGCCATCTTTATTGTAAAGCAAATAATATCCGTGTCCAAGTGAATTCAATTTACATAAACTGGACACGATAGCCGTGGTCTGAAACTTGCAAGCAAAACTACATTACCCTATCTATAACTATGTTAGGACGTAACTCTGGCATAATAACTTGGTAGATGATCTCATATCTACATACTACTAGTATCTATATATGTATATACTATTAAAAGGGGAGCGGTTAGCGATCTGCTTTAAATTTAAATGCCTATTATAATTTATATTTTGTTTAGGTTTCATAAGTATAATTGTATAGCAATAATTAATAAGAGCAGAGAAATGTCTTTGTAATTCAGAATTGTAAAAAATATATTACTTTAAAAATCGAAAATAAATTGAAAATATTTTCGACTCCGGCAGGACTTGAACCGACATCGTCAGCGTTCCGTGCTGTTGCTCTACCAATTGAGCTACCGAGTCCTACACCTCATCGTCGAACACCTAATATTTCAACCTTAACACTTGCGTATTAAGGTTCAATGTCTTATGCTTTGCAGCTTAAGAAATCATTGAAGATGAAATTACAAAGTTAGAACATTTGAAAACATTAATATTTTTCACATGTTATGGCACTATATAATTTAAAAATCGAAAATAAATTGATTTTTTTTATACGCGTGAAATTTAACCACGTTTCCGTTTCAGTCTGTGCAAGAAATATAATTATTTCTCACCTTACAGATTGCCCAACGGTTACATTTGCCCCGTCTTCAAATGGGGAACGAAGAAGGAATGGGAGTTTGGCCTTCAAAGAGTTATACACTTCCCATCATCTAGAACGCCGAGCGAAAGAACTTACCTACTGAAGACGTTAGCTGGTTGTCCTATAGAAGAATACAAGATTAATAGAATACTAAATGTTACCATATTGGAAGGAAACGGGAACTTTACCGAGACTGACCTGTTCTTGATATTCAGCATGTTGACTGGTGGGGAACCTGGGTACACGACGTTGTTCCACTTCTTGGATAACCACTGGGACTTCTTGAAAGAGAAGTAAGTAAATACTCTTTATAGTTTACGCAGGTAGTACACATTTAAATAAAACGCTTTAACGCGATATGTATAAGTAAACTTATTTCAAAATTATTTTAGCTACGGCCCGACGTTTTGGATACTTTGGAACAGCCGGCCATGTTAAAATAATTAACAAATAAGTTTAACTAATGAATATCACGTTTTAAACCGTTAGTGTTTTGTTTAGGAGAATTAAGTGTTAATAGTGTGATTAGTTCATCCCCGCGGCTATGATATAATAATTTTGTGTAAACTAACAATAACCAATGATCAATATGCCGGTAAGGCAATGACAACTTTTGGTGTTCGTTTTTGTCGTTTGACGCTATGGCGAGGTTGAGATAAGAAAAAGTTGTAGTGGACATATATAAATACGACTTTTATAAAAATAGGAAGACTCTATCGTATCGTCTCCCTATGTCCCATTTCAGAGATATCGTCTTATAAATAGCAATAATTCAGTCATAATTTAATATAATACTAAGTAAACTGTTGATAATGCTAATGCATAACCAACATCCATCATTGTTGTGTTTACCCATAACTCTAGTCATGAATGTACATTGGATATAGAGCGCGAACAATACTAATATATCTTGAACTGAACTTATAACTTTCCCGAAAGATATATGCTTTAGCTGGATAATCTGGAAATTAAATACACGGGCCATCGACCATTAATTATAATCCCGTTTCGGTTGCATTCTGTGGTCATCGAATCGAATTTACATGTTATATCGCTTGGTGGTTCACCTTCCATAGAGTGAACCGTGTCCGTTAGTCTTCTGTCATAAAAAAATGTTAATGTCAAAGACAGTATAGGTGTTATGCTTAAGTAACTGTACTCTATATGTACATCGTGTCCTGATATATGGATTTAGTTATCTGGATGTACGTTACAAGTAACCCCACAGTTTGGGTACATTCAAAGTTGGGTTGTATCAAATTTACTTTTCTACCTTGTAAGTTTCTCCTTGGTATACGTACATTAAGATTGTGCTTGGTTTCCAACTAAAGTAAGAAAATTGAGCCTCAAACTACTTTGGAATTAAACGCGAGTTTCTCGAAGATTCTTCCATTGGAGAACAAAAAGTACACACCTATGAAACTATTATTTGTACCCGATTACGGCTTGAAAAGGATAGGTAACGACCTATATTACATAAATACTTCAAAATAAAAAGCTGTTTTCAATCAACTAGATCTCGGACGGTTTGTAATCTTATGCCTATATAATATGGCAATAGCGTGGCAATTTTTACTTTGAGAGACACTTTACATCTTTAGTCTCCCCGTGACCATGGCTGTTGCAGAGCATCCCATACGTCGAGTCAGAGTTTAAATAATTTGTAAATACGTACATAACTACTACATATTGCGTTTCAAACCGTTAAAATGTTTTATTTTAAAGCTTTCGTAACTTAAATGTAAACGGACTGTCCTCTTGTGTTAAGATGGGGCCCAAAAGAATTATTACTCTTGTTTTCTTTTCTTTTAATTTCAGTCTTTTGGTAGGAAAGGTTCTGAAGTTCAAAAACCTAGATTGATTAAATAATTATAATACTAACTTTGAAAGATCGATAGTTTGGGTTTAGATTTTTTAGCAGCAAATCTAAAAGTAACAAATAATTAAGGTTTTTAGGTTATTTTTAACATTGCAGCCCAAAAGTTTGTAATAACCACTATTTAATAATATAATAAAAATGTTCCCTTTATCATTCCTATAAGCTATGCTATATATTTGTCTATTTACAGATTTGCATCGAAGACAAACCTTTGGGATAACCTAATATTAGCCGCCACAGGAGAATTCAAAACACAATCCGGTTTGGACCTAGTGTCCAGGCTGTACGTTACACATCAGGGGGAGTTCGGTTCAGCTGAGCACATAATAGAGAAATCCATGAGAAACATCAGAGAGGAAGTTAAATGGTCCACAGAGAATATTCCGGTCATTGAGAAATGGCTCGACCACTATATCGCAACTAATGACGTAAAAGATGATATGTTTGTCAACAATTAACTATTGTAGTGCTAGTATATATGAGGCTGCTAGAGCCATAGTGGCCTAATAACAAAGAACGTGATTTTCAATAAGGAGGAAAATAAAAATGCGCAATTAACTTAGGCGAAAATGAATTGAAACTATTATTTGTGTAAGAATTATTTTACCAATTTTCGGGGACTGAGATCCTGTATATTAAATTTTTTAAACTATAAAAATATAGGCTACTCTGGCTCTAGCGGCCTCATATTTGTTATGAAGCTAGCAAATTATCACATTTGATGAATCAAATAACAAGAAATAGATAAATTAGAAACAAGTAAAATTATATATTTTTTAAAGTATTTTACGATAGCATATCTAGTTATTTATTAATACTTAAAGTTTCCTAAAATTTATAGTACTCTAAAATTATGCTAAAACTCATCGTGGTTGCAATCTAAGTGAACGTAACAACTATTCTACACGTATAATAAATTAAAAAATGTAGTAAAGATTTGTTTATTGTTATATGAAATAGCTTTTAAAGTCAATTTTTGGCCTGTGACACTCCAAGGCTTACAGCATTTCGTCATGTTTGTCGTGTAAATCCTTGTCAACAAGCCAATATATTGATAGATAATATACTTTTTATTAAAATGTTTGTAAATATATGTTTATTTATATTCTTTATTATATTCATGATGAATATATAAAGTATTTTGTAGTATAATCCGTATTTGCAGCTCTAAAAAAATACTGGGTGATTTAAAAAGTCCCGTATCTCCACAAGGGACAATTACTTTGCTGTGCCTATTTTGTAGATCACAATTTCAGTGATACCAATATTCTGCCCCACCCGACCGAAAATCTTCTACAATTCGAACCCACCTTTCGTATTGTAAAAGGCAATACGTTTTAAACAGAGGTACGACGGTATTTTACATCAAATAAGTAGTTATCAAAATACTTTTGAAAACTTAGATGTTTTTCACATTTATGTATATATAATGGCATTATATAAATTAATAATCTTTTTAGATGCTCAGGAGGTGCATCAATAGGTTTAAATAAATCGACGATGACGTGTGAATGCCGGCTCAAGTCCTGCTCTACAACAAAACACTGTGGTTTAAAACGCTTGTTATATATATTGATTAAACTTATTTAGAAACTATTTTAACTATGGCTCGACGTGGTTACGAGGAGACTAAAGTTGGAGGGTGTCTCTAATGTCAATAAAATCAATGTTTAATTTAAATAAAATACATTTTACAGGTTTAACGCAAAATATATTTGTCACTTTTAATTAAATACGACCCACGTCACACATAAACGGAAGTATAGCGTAAAAGTGCTTTTTTTTTAAATGTGCACTACTCAAATAAACTACAGTAGAATACTAAGTAAATCTAGTGGATTTTAAAATAGATGTAAGTGTGTCCCAAGTGACCAAAGTAGGACTTCGTTGACATTCAGGAAGTTCCTCTAGATAATGCAAGAAAGCTGGATGTTAGAGTTGCTATGTCAAAGAATTCTTTAACGTCGGACGCGGATTACGGTTTCAAAAAGCATATAATATTAAAGCAAAGCAGGACTGGAGTTGCAAAGTGGCACTGGGGAGACGTAATAAAATCACCTTTTTACCTTGTTAGAGGGAAACGAAGCGTCGTCGCCGGAATGTTTTGAAGAACCGCCACTTTTCTACAAATGTTCAGAATAAAGGGTTGACTTGCGATTCGTTACATCAACAAACCTAAGAATTTATGTAAAACGCAGTGCAAACTATGCAGATTAACGTCAGATTGTATTTGTAAAACAGCTTAAGAATTTTAAGTCATTGTATAGATCATAAGAATCAGGTGTCTGATGTATGTACCACCTGATTCTTAAATTTTTTTTACCTTTAATACATATGTTTAAACAAAATTATATGATTTGCACCATCTTACGCAAATTGTCCATATTTAAATAAAACACTTTAACGGTTAAAAACGCGAAATATATTGGTTAAACTTATTAACAAATTATTTTACCGTGGTTACTGTGGTTATATGGTTTAATATGATAAGGTCCCTTGTTTGAATCGTGTCGGTTATATTGGAGAAATAATAATCTTATATTTAGGATTGGTAAATAGTCTGTAAGTGAATAAAAAGTTCGTCATGTTTTGCACGACACAGACTATATGTTACATAACTACATAATGTTTTATCGTCACTAGAACTAGTGGCCCTCGTTATCAATACTAGTAATTCGTAGAATCTTCATGTCATTGAAGATACCACTATCATGAACAACCCAGAACTCAATCAAGGTCTTCCGATAACCCGTACAGATCTGTTCGGACCTATAAATAATTCATTCGGCATAGCTTAACTTTTGTAAGCAAACGTAATCATTTGCGAGGGAAAGTCGAATGAGTTTTGTATTTCTTGTTAAGAGCTACTATGGAATACAAAGCTGTAGGCAACGTAGGTAATGTTACCAACTACTATTCTATTATATTACTAAACAATACAAGTTGCACTCTGGTATTGTTGCCAGAAATGAAATCTTTCTATACTAATATAATAAAAAATAAACAATTTATTAAGGAAGGCTATAAAACATCAGGGTGCGATCAATAGAAACGGTGGGAAAAGTGGAACAAACGGGGAAAACTATTTATCTTTGAGGGCTTCCGTTGGGTGCGCTGCGAAAATGGATAGAACGGAAAGAATGATTCCTCTTTGATAGATTTACAAAATGTCAGCGATAGTATATGTCCGTAATTTAAGATTAACCTGCAAGAAAGACGGGACGCGACCGACATCGTAGGTAACTTAGAAAGTATGAAGGTTTGCAAAAACAACTTTTGATGCCCATAATTTAACTATTCCACGCGTAGTAACACATTAACAGATCGCTCGAAGATGAGTATTTTTCTCTGTTTTTTTTTTTTAACATTTCTCACTGTTTTTTTACTCCTATTGGTCGCAGATTTCAATAGCTTAAAGCCTTCCTCGATAAATGCTCTAAGCAACACAAAAAGATTTTTAAAATTCGAACCAGTAGTTCCTGAGTTTAGTGCATTCAAACAAATAAACTCTTCAGCTTTATAATATTAGTATATAGTTTCTTATCTGAACGACAATTTAGTACCCCGAAAGCCAACAACCGGTAACATCCGAGGCGTAGCGGCGTGCTACGACGACTGTAGATAAAGGTAGTAACACGATAAAAGCCCCGGTAAACATTTTTCCAATACTGCAATGCCGGAAGCTCATCAGCCGAGGTCTTGGCGCCTTCGCGACGATTTTATTCAGTCGCCGTGAGATTCTATGAAAATCTCATTTCACAAATACCTGGACTTGTAACTGGAATTCAAGATTGATCTATCGAGTTACGGTATATTCAAGACCAAATACTGTCTGTAGTTTACACGAGTAGTACACATTTAAATAAAACACTTAAACAGATTATAACGCGATATATATTAATTAAACTTATTTGGAAATTATGTTAACTACGGCCCGATGCTTCGAATGTTTCGGTCATGGGTTGATACGTTATTTACTGGATATCGCAAGGAATCGACATGTCCTAAACGCGTATATCACAATAAGCATTGGGGCATCATGGTAAATTAAGATTAACCTACAAGGCACACGTTTAAAAGCGCTTAGAACACGCCATCCGTGAAAACAGCCAACGGCTCATGATGGTATGATGGAAACAAAGCTATAAATATTGTTTTAGATATTTCAATTTCAGTGTCTGAATTTCCGATTTATCAATTAACCAAAAAAGGCGACAGCACATCCAATTTAGATGTAATATTAATCGTTCGCTAATTTTTATGTTTTCACGGATTCACGACTATGATTTCTTTGATGCATATTTGAATATGGATATGGAGAAATATTGTATTAATGGAGATTATTTTTATATCTCCAAAGGAATTTTCCCATTCTTGAAAATAGATGAAAACGTGAGGAGAGTCGCAGGAAAGCTATAGTGTCGTGCATATCGAGAAATTCAATAAACTCAGCCAAACGATTAGCAGTGAGTTAGCGAAACAAACTGGGTCGGTAATAACGCGATCCTAGTTAATGTTTTCTCAGCACTGGAGTTCTATAGTTTGATACAAGTCGGCAATCTCTGCGAAGTTATCTCTGTTGACATTAACTTCGTGACACACTGCTAGCTAGAACATCGAACATCTGACTTTTAAAGTTTAACTATACTACAATATAAATTACATTAAAAGAGGACTGGTAAGTATTCTCTGTAGTTTACACGAGTAGTACACGATTAACGGTTTAAAACGCGAAATATATTCGCTAAATTGTTTTTAATTTAACGTTTTACACAGTTAAGATGTTTTATTTGAAACTAATTTTTAATTTAAAATAAGGACTATGTATGTTGATATTATTATATATACATGTTGTTGACTACATAATGCGAAACAATTTTTAAAAGATTATGTTACTGTAAAGTTTTGAAAGAGATTTCAAACTAGGATTAGTTTGAAAACTTTAATATTTTTTACATTTTGCACATGAAGGCACAATATAATTTAAAAATCGAAAATAAATTGAAAAAATTTTCGACTCGGGCATGAATTTTTTAAATTTATTTTGGATTTTTAAATTATATAGGTTTAGTTAAGTAAATTATTTAAGCAAGCAAGGTTTTCGAAGGAACGGTACTCATAATACGTTCTTAGAACAGTTGATTCTTACTATAGGACTATGTAAAATATTTTTAAATAATCCTTTATATTGTCAATTTTGTTTACTTAAATATTTGGCTGTTGTTAAAATTAGTTAGTAAAAAGCTTAATATCTTTTATACACTTTGCATAGTTAGTATGTTAATATAGACCTTGTGTTATGTATCTTTAAAAAAAATGCCAAACTTGTGTCTGTGTGTAGCGCCGTATTTGTGTCAAGATGCCCTCGCAATTATCGAAATAAACGAGGATTATAAAGCAGACTCACTACGTGACTGAACAATGTTATTTTGTTTCATCGTTTTTGGTGAGTTTGCTTTTTATGATTTCGCTTAAGAGTTAGTTTTAAGTGGTTTGCTTTTCAAAATTAAAAAGTTGGAAGTCTCTCATTCTGATAGTGATATGTGTACACGACTACGATTTTGGTGTTAGCAGTCTTACTAACATTGAACGTAAAGTAGAAAAAATTACAAACACGTCCATTTAAAGTCGATTTAGCTTTGTGGCAGTGCAAGAGTGCGGTGCGATCTGGGTTTTCATTCCATTTGTGATGTACTTTTTTTAATAGGCTTTTATGTGACATGTAAAGAAATATAAGATAAGAGATTAGTGAACGATTGATGCTCTTTTGAAGGGTCGTTGGTGTTGAGTTATGGTAGTGAAAGGTTAATAATCCACGGGTCGTGGTTTCTGTCCCCACCAGAACATTATTTTTATCAATTTGTAATTTCTCTGAAACTTTTTGGATTTGGATTTATTTATTTAATGGGTTGTAGGACAGACAGTTGAGTTACCGTGTCTATTGGTTAGAGCAGCAGCGCGAACTGCTGTGGAAGCTGGTCCACGTCCCTTCCGCATCGTAATCTTTTTTTCAACATACATAGTATTTTGATTGATGTTTCGTTGTTTTAGTCTCAATATTGGCCGTGTCCAGATGTGAAACTGGTTCCTGTCCGCCAACGCTGTCTGCCAATATTTGCGAGGCGTTATGCGGACCCACTACAGCCTGTAACGCTTCTCAGATATGCTGCCCGACAGCCTGCGGAGGTGCTATGTGCGTAGATCCTATGACGCAGAGGCATTTTGTCACATTAGGTATGACAAAGATATAATAGATTACAATATATAATTACTCAGTTTTCTTACAATACCATTTTACTAATCTAGATTTTACTCTATATCTATTTTTCTATTAATCATTAATCACTTAGTCAGTTATATATTAAATACTTTTTAATCTTAAGGAGAAAAAAAAATGTTTTTGCATATATTTGTGTTGTCACTTACTTAAGTTCGAAGTACTTAATTTCGCATAAGTTTTAGTTATGTATGAACTTAATGTTATGTTGCGTGATTTTAAAGAAATTAATACATGAATGAATTATCGATAGATCCTATAACAAAAAATCCATTTATAAACCGTTAATTAGATAACTTATTTAACTTTGCTGCAAGGCATCCTAAGGTCGTGGTTAAAATTAATGAAAAGTTAGGTGGCTCATATATTTTGCTTTTAACCGTAAACTAGTGTTAAATGTGTACACTATGCGTAAACTACAGCCTATAAAAATTTGATCTAATCCCTATCACGTCCATCTAGATCTTTTTTGAACCATCTGCCTAAACTAATCACAATATTAAGTTCAAGTTGTGATAAGATTTATTTGGTTTCTTAGAGGGAGCTTAAAGAAAGAACCAACAGACATTCGTACTTTTAATATCAGCAAACAAATAAATGCAAATTAATGTTCGCTGCGGTAGAGGTATGAATAGAATATAGAATACATGGTGCTTATACAGCTCAGTTGGTACAACAACCTCTCAAGTCTCGCTTGTGTCATATATATTGTGATATGTATTAATTAAATACTGTCTGTAGTTTACGCGAGTAAGTTTTTACTAGGGCCCGACGGTGCGGATGCTTTGCAGCAGCCGGGGTCACGGGGAGAGATAATATTCAAATAAGATCAACTAATATATATCGCGTTTTAAACCGTTAGTATTTTTTTAAATTGTATTATTTAATGTTGTATTCTCTTCCAGTTAAGAAGGGCCGCTGTTCCGAGTTTCCACGTGGTCCCTGGGTCTGCAGTCACACGTGCACCGGAGATTCGGACTGCCCCCGAGCGCTCAAATGCTGCCCCAACAGGTGTGGGGCATTGACATGTCAGAAACCAGAGTTAGATGAAGTACCACCGATATAAAAAGTAAAAAAAATAGATGTTATTTGTAATTCTTGTACCTTTGTCCTTTTCCACTAAATTAAACTCTTCTACTTGTATATATATAATATACTTCTATTGTATATCTTTACACTGTCACTGTACACTGAGTAGTGTAAAATATAGATAAGACGTACAATATACTTGGTATGGAAATTACTACATTATGTACATTAAAATTGATTAAAAGTTGAAAATAATTGCGACATGGGCAGGACTTGAACGGGCATCCACAGCATCCACAGCATCCACAGCATCCACAGCATTCCGTGATTCCGTTTGTAGTAGTAGTAGTCTCAGACTTACATAACACTAAAATCAAACCGTTGTCTGTAGTTTACCATGCTGTGTAGTGTAGTGACCACGGCTGCTGTAAAGTATCCGAAACGTCGGGCCGTAGTTAAAAATTATTTTTAAACAAGTTTCACTAAAATATATCGCGTTTTAAACCGTTAAAGTGTTTTATTTAAATTTAACCGTTATTAAAGCAAACAGTAATGTATAATAAAAATGAAAGTTTCTAATTGTGGTATATGATACTGTGAACAAAGAGAATGGAAATATCATCTATATGACTCGGTAAAGGAAGCACAATAAAGTATTGTTCGTAACTAGCCCAGCGAGCGTCTAAAGAATATATTTTATAATATTCATGAAAAGCAAGTACGGCTACAAAAGCTTAGCTCAGCGTAAACAGTTTAGATAAAAATTACTTAGTATTGAAAGTTCGTATGAGAGTGTGTAGTTATATTTATATCAAAGTGAAATCCCGTTTTCCCTGTAAGGCAGACATATTTCTGTGTCCGTTTCGCTAATTCATTATTGTACAGGCAAGTTGTTAATAAGACTTTTAATAAGCGCTTAACGCACCGTTAGGCAACGCGGCTTACACGTTACGTTGAGTTTAAACATGTTGTAAATATAACTATGTATATATTATTTCTTTTTTGTAGTATGTCGTTGATGTTAATATATCACATTTTTAGTTAATTTAAAACTTGTTTGTCCCTTTTTGGATTCAAGCCTAAAAGACTAGGTTGAAACCTAGACTTGGTCCACTGTAGCCTGGAGGGAAGGTTGAAGAGTTGAATGGCTGAATATTCAGTCATAAATATGTTGTCCAGGACAGTTCGAAACGGCTGAAGTTTGCACATTCTTTTAAGGATATTCTTTTAAGTTAGGTTAGTAACATGAACCAACAGTAGGGTTTTGCTGAAAATCAGTATTATAGCATAACTGTGCTTCAACTTATGCTGACGCAAGACTCTTTTGGCATCACTTTTCTTCAAATTACATTGTACCTTTTTCTTACAAAGAAATAAATGTTTTACGATAAAATAATTAATTTATCGTAATACATTTATTTCTTTGCAATATTGTACTAAATGAATGCCAAATATAGAGATTTACTATAATATCTTTACTAATATATAAAGAAGAATTTGTTTATTTGCTTGATCACGCTAAGCTCTGGAACTACTGGTTCAAATTGAAAAAATATTTTTGTGTTCGTTAAAATATATCGAGGAAGGCGCAGAGAGTGCTGCTGCTGGGAAATGTAGGAGAAACCTGGACATTTTTCTTGTGGGTGTCCGTTACGTACTCTGCAAAAACTGTTTAAGATACCTTAAATTTTTTTAATAACATTTAGTACATAATAGAGATAGGATAGTAAAAATAAGAGAGGGTCTGATGATGATGGTTCCATGTCGAAAGCTCAGTAAACAAGGAAAAACAAATACAAAATGGAATTTATAAAGTCTAGCAGGCCTTGTAATTTGAGAGAATATTTGAATAAAAATTCTTTTAGGCAAAGCAGGCGAAAGTGTACTCGCGAAATATTACCGAGCGCCGCTCGTTAAGTGCGTATTTCTACGACGCGGGGTTCCGTGCGAGTAGCGTTTTCGTGAATCCGGTGAAATATTGATAAGAACGTACCGGTAGAGATCGATTTTGTCCTACGTTGGTTTGAGGATTTATTTAGGTTACGGTTGAAAAAAAATCTTGTGAGGGCTGTAGCGACTGAAAAAAATTTTACGCTTAAATACTGTCTATAGATTACGCGAGTAGTACACATATAAATAAAACACTTTAACGGGTTAAAAAGCGATATATTAGTTAAACTTATTTGAAAATGAGCAGCAGCCGAAACGTCGGGCTTCGAAGTTAAAAAAAAGTTTCGAAGTTAAAAGCGTCGAAGTTAAAAATCATTTTCAAATAAGTTTAATTAATATATCGCGTTTTAAACCGTTAAAGTGTTTTGTTTAAATAGTTAACGTTTTTTATGATAGAGGAGGACAGACGAGCATGGAGTTCACTTGATGGAAGGTGGAATACCCCAGCCACATACCAGATACCTTCTATACCTACAAGATGTGCCGTCAACCTATTTTGGCTTTTAATATTCGGACAACCACAGACGGTAACCGAAACGCAACTAAACTTGACGGCAGGACTTGGACCAGCATCTTCAGCATTCAATGCTGTTGCTCTAAATAATTGAGCTTTCTTAATTTAGCTTAATGTTTTTGTCATCTGTGGACAGTGATTCGGATGTTCCTACCACCAAAATATATCACTAGAAACAACAGTTATCAGTTCAAAATCATTGAATTCGACTTTCTAATTGAATTAAACCAGACACAGAAATATGTCAGTGACATTTGATTATGACTAGAGAGAGCTTTTTTTTCTCAAAGGGTTTGGTTTTTTTTTATGTCTAAAATGCCAAGTACGGAACCCTTAATACCGTGAAAGTTCATTAAAGACTCGAGTAGGTCAATTTAAGCGGAATGAGAGCTCAGTTCTCGCAGCTCGTTGAAAAAATATTTAATTATTCGCAATGAAGTGTCCCAGTACCTTAAGGTAATTTGACAAACACACTTTTTCCATTGTTTTCGCGTCAAACAAGGACAAAAAGTTTTAACTAATCTCATGTATATACGTCATTAAACTGCGAAAGCTTCTCAGTGTATCTATATCGGAGCTAAAATTATATTTTTTTTTAATACAACTTTAACAATTTAAAACGCAGAATATATTCGTTGTATTCGGATGCTTTGCAGCGGTTGTAACGAGCTTCGAGATGTCGTCGTCGTTGAAATAGATTAAAAATTAGTTGACTAATATATTTCGCGTTTTAAAGCGAATTATTAGACTTTACACAATCTTTGTACCTATAGTTAAGTTTTGTAGATCTTTTCAAACATTTCTCGACTTATAATGTCATAACGTATTTACAAACTTCAAGCACAAACATCTATATTGTTTATAAATTAGTAAAATTTATCTTAAATACTGTCTATAGTTTACGCGAGTAATACACATTTAAATAAAACACTTTAACGGTTTAAAACGCGATCATTTTAAATCGAACCGATGTTAAAAATCATTTTCAAATAAGTTTAACTAATATATCGCATTTTAAACCGCTAAAGTGTTTTATTTAAAAATTTCTCTTCTCGTGTATATTACGATATTGCTCGTGACAATAAGGTTATATTCTTCATCGACACATAATTGGCAGTCCGTAATCTGTCCTCACATATTATATTACCATAGATTAGAAAAAGTGGTATAACAGGAAAATGTATATTCATAAGACATATTTTCTGACACAGACGTATATTATTATGGGGTTTTTTATGATAGACGATAGTCAACCATGGAATTAGCTTGATTGATATACTTAGGCCATCTTTATATATTCCGAAATCCACAGACTGAAACTGAAACGCGTAGAAATAATGAATTTCTTGCATGCTGTTTCTTCCAGTCTATGTGCACCATCGTTAATTAATTTTTGAGCTACCTGTGCTAGGTCTTGCAATCTTGAGATCCGATTAGTGGAAAAAATAAAGGCCGATTGGATTCCAGCCGTTGGATTGATTGAGATGAAAATAAAGAAGTTAAAAAGCATGGCTGGAAATTTATTTTATGAAGCTTTGCTTGTAGATTGCTTTTCCACGATAGATATATACAGGCCTGTCATCTGCGATGTACAGGGTCCCTGGATTTTTATAGGGTCCTAAGTTAAATCAATTTTTATTCTGGTTGTTGGAGATTTGTTATTAAGAAGTATTTAAAATAAACATAAAGCAATTACTTCTGTAATATATGTTATTCTGTAATATATAAAATATAATATATGTTATATACATAATGGCTATTCAAAGTAAAACGAATTTTTGAAGATTTAATAATATTTGGATACTTCGATTTGTACAAAGCGATAAAATAGAAAAAAAGGCGTGTCTTGTCAAACATGTCGGAATCGTGGAGTTTTGTGGTCGTTTGTGGCCGTTCGTGGCGCCTTGGCTATTGTGTAGCTTTGTGACGAGTTAAATGGAATTGCGAATTCTATTTAGGAATTCTTTGTTACTTTTGTTTCGTATATCAGTCGGACTATAAGTAATATGAATGACAAGCATTTTTTGGTAAAACAGGGATTTTTTCTAATAAGCTATAAATTAACAGATTTTTAAGTTATCGCTTGCTGCGGCCGGTTCTTCTGCACTCCACAAACCTTTTCACGAATAAGTACTTTTTAATGACAGTGGAGGATATACAAACATGTGATTCCCTTGATGGGAGGCGAAACACTCCAGCTATATAACATCTACACAAGATGCGCTATCACCCTATATTGGCTTTGGTTTTTCGTTATTTAATAGTGCTGAGTAATAGAGCGATAGTATACATAAGTAGAATAATGTATATCTTACTTAGTTAAATTTACGCAACAAATATTAGTAATTTGTTTTCAATTACATTAAATTGTTTGAGTATTACAATATGTCTGTTTAATGACAAAATAAGACATTTTAATGAAACTTACCATCGAAAAATTGATACGTTTTTCTAGTCTATTTATGGCCTGAGTTCTTATTAGGAGTTTGTATCCCACTTTTCAGTTCCATGCCTTACCTGAACCCTAATGCAAATGTTAAGATTGAAATTACAATGCGTTATAGCAAAAGCGC